CAGGAGCTCAGCTCCCTGCCACCAGGGCATGTTTCTGAAGGACGTGGCAGGGAGCGGTTTGGTTTGGTTTTTTAATCTTCTCCAGGTTGCCGTTTCAGTTTCTGTCTGCTGGAGGGAGGAGCTGTGGAGCCAGTGTATAACCCGCCTGCTCCAGAGAGGGACCAGACACAGGGCTGTGTGTGTCTCAGCCCAGCAAACCCTTCCTGATTGGAATTAACCCTTTTCCCACTGCTGGTCCTCCTGTGGGGAGCTGGCTGGCTGCTGCTCAGGTGAGCAGAGATCTGCAAGCACAGGACCGGGGGACGGGGGGGAATATCTGCATGGGGAGCTCTCCTGGGGGAGGGGTTGGGCTGCCTCCATTCTGTCTCACCCCGGCTTTGTCCCCACTAACCCAGTTCAGCTCCCAGCTCATTTGCGCCGCGGGTCTGTGCGGGGCTGGTTGCGGGGGGCTCCTATGGGGTGGGGGGCGCTGGGGACAGGGGACAGTGATGCCCTGAGCAGCCCCAGTGCCCAGCCCGGGATGTGTCCGCCCTGCAAAGCCAGGTGGGGTCTGATCTCTGCACCCCACTGCAGAGCCCGCGGGGTTTGCCCTGGGCTCAGACCCTCGGTGCCGGCTCCGTTTGGTGCCTTTGCTGGGGCCGCCTGGTGCCTGGAGCTGCTGGGTTCACCCCTTCTGGGATCCTGCTCTGTTGGGCTGGCGCCTCTGTCCCTGCGGCTAGGGACCCTCCTGCAACCCCCCCGGGCAGCAGTTGCTTCCCCTCTCCCTGCAAGAGCAGATAGACAGAGTCACTGGAAAGTGATTGTCAGTTGCATTGGCTGGACTCGAGTTACAGATTATTAAATTCATAGGCGCTGACTTTTTGTTTTGCTGGCGGGTGCTTTTGAAGAGGTGTGTGTGTTATGGGGGGGGCATTCTGCTAGTTTGGGGGGAGGCTATTTTCAGCATAGGTATACATTTCTGTCATATTTTAGTTATTGAATGTGTCAATCATTGGTCTCTTTACTATTTTAATGACAATTCAGTTGTTACGAACGACCTAATTACATTCTCCTGAATTACAGTGTATTAAAATCATTGCAGTCACCTACAAGCTGTGTTCACTAATGTCCCAGTTTAAAGACATTATGTTTCCCTGTAGCTTTCTGGATGAAACTACAGCCAGCAATCTTATTTACATCTAGGTCCCTGGGATGGTCTTGATGCCCGTTCAGGACAGCTGCATTATCCAGTTGCGTCTGTCCCATTGATGACTGGAGAGAATTTTTAAGTCTGCTGAAGCTGGAGATGAGTTCAGGATGATACAGGCACAGGGAGATGGATTCAATTTGCAGTAATCTGGAAGCATAGTGCTTCCAGAGTCCTGCAAACAATTCCAAGGTCTCTTTCTTGATGGGTAACAGCTAATTTAGACCCCATCATTTTGTATGTATAGTTGGGTTTATGTTTTGCCATGTCATAGAATCATAGAATATTAGGGTTGGAAGAGACCTCAGGAGGTCATCTAGTCCAACCCCCTGCTCAAAGCAGGACCAACACCAACTGAATTTGCATTACTTTGCATTTAACATTGAATTTCATCTGCCATTTAGTTGCCCAGTCACCCAGTTGTGAGAGATCCTTCTGTAGCTCGTTGCAGTCGGTCTGGGACTTAACTATCTTGAGTATAATCATAGAATAATAGAACTGGAAGGGACCTCGAGAGGTCATCAAGTCCAGTCCCCTGCACTCATGGCAGGACCAGCACCATCTAGACCATCCCTGACAGGTGTTTGTCTAACCCAGCTTGTGCATGTGTTTGTGCATGAGTGGCGGGTGTGTGTATGTGTGTTTGCTATGTTAGTCTGTAAGGATATCATATATCATGCGATCTGCCAGCCCTACTGTATAGCCTGGATCCTGTGAGCAGCCGGGGACAAATGCCCCCTGGGGCAGGTGGGGCTGTGAGGGGGGTGGGCTGCTCCTTTCATTGTGCCAGGGGAAGCGACGCAGGAGGGGTGGGGGCAGCTCTAGGCAGAAGCTCTGCAGTGGCAGAGACTAAAATCTAAGCAGGATGCTGCGTTCCTTATTCTGCTAGTTTCTTGCTGACGGGTGGAAGAAAGCGACTCCTCTACACTGCACAGTGAGCCCAGCTCTGACCCAGGTTTGAGACCAAACCTCTTTTTGTCCACACACAGATCAGGTCTGACTCCGGTCAGTGAGCACTCAGGACCCAGGTCCTAGGACTTTGCTGTGGCATGGGTCTGAGCCTGCGTCCTGGTATGACTCCCGGTCCGAGCCCTGTCGTTTTGCAGTGTGGACACAGCTCGAGCTGCAGACCAGTCAGAAGGTCTGTGCAGTGTGATATGGACCATTAGCACTGCTGGGAGACCCAGGGCAGCAATTGTAAGCCCAGGTTTGCAGTGCAGTGTGGATGCTCATGCGTGTGGGCTCAGACGCAAGTGTCCACAAACCCGGGTCCCACAGAACTGGGTTTACAATGCAGTGTAGACGGACTCTTAGTGATTCGTTGGCACCATCCCAGGGCAGGTGTCGTTGCCAGTGGGTTGGTGATGAGGCCAGTGGATACCAGTGAGAGGAGAATTCTAATCCGGTGGCATTTTATACCCCACTAGGCAGGTGGCCGAGCTGTTACAAGGGGCCGGGCAGGGGAGAATCTGAATCTCTGTATGAGCACAGGAGACTTTTACTGGGGAAACGGCTGCATTTTCTGTCTCCTGGATTCCTGCCCTTGTACCATTTTATAACACACAATGGGGGGGTTACCCCCTTCCCCCATGACCCCACTGCTCTGTTAATACCCTAGAGGAGCTGTGAGAGGAGGGTACTGTTTGTTTAGCTGCCTTTTATTGGTTCATTGTTGTAGCTGTTTATTTATTGCCTGATTGAAATGACATTTCGCTTCCACTAGGGAGCAGATGTCATTTTACAACAGCTCTCCCAAAAGCCCTATCAGAACCACTCCCCTGACCATGCCCCTGACTTGAAAAGGCGGCAAATTCCAATCTGGTGAAAGGGAAAACGTTTCACACAAGGCACAGCTGGTCTGTGGAACTTGCTGCCACAAGATCTCCTTGGTCAATCTTCTTTTCTAAATCCTGCCAACCTCTTGGCATTGATAGAGATAATGGGACCCTCCAGAGTTATAACCATCAATATTACAAAATAACCTGGAGTGGGAAGGGCTCTAAACCCTCCAGGACAAGGTACAAGCCCCAGGTTCTAACCAATGGGGGTGAGGGAAGAATCTCTCCCCGGGGCAGGTTATTCCATCACTGTCCAGTGCAGGGGTGTCCTGCCCCTCCCGCTGAAGCAGTTGGTGCTGGCTGCTGTGGGAGTCGCTCCCGTCAGATCTGCTCAGCTGGGAGCTCTGCTGCTGC